TGTGCTCACCGGTTGGTGGAGCATGCTCGCCGGTCAGTAGAGTGAGCTCACCGGTCAGCAGAGTGAGCTCACCGGTCGGTGGAGTATGCTCGCCGGTCAGTAGAGTGAGCTCACCGGTCAGCAGAGTGAGCTCACCGGTCGGTGGAGTATGCTCGCCGGTCAGTAGAGTGAGCTCACCGGTCGATGGAGTATGCTCGCCGATGAGTAGAGTGAGCTCACCGGTCAGTAGAGTGAGCTCACCGGTCGATGGGGTATGCTCGCCGGTCAGTAGAGTAAGCTCACCGGTCAGTAGAGTGAGCTCACCGGTCAGTAGAGTGAGCTCACCAGTCAGTAGAGTGAGCTCACCGGTCAGTAGAGTAAGCTCACCGGTCAGTAGAGTAAGCTCACCGGTCAGTAGAGTGAGCTTACCGGTCAGTAGAGTGAGCTCACCGGTCGGTAGAGTGAGCTCACCGGTCAGTAAAGTGAGCTCACCGGTCGGTGGAGTATGCTCGCCGGTCAGTAGAGTGAGCTCACCGGTCAGTAGAGTGAGCTCACCGGTCAGTAAAGTGAGCTTACCGGTCGGTGGAGTATGCTCGCCGATCAGTAGAGTGAGCTCACCGGTTAGCAGAGTGAGCTCATCGGTTGGTGGAGTATGCTCGCCGGTCAGTGGAGTGAGCTCACCGGTTAGCAGAGTGAGATCACCGGTTTTAGTACCGTGAGCTCACTGGTCGGTTGGACTGAGCTCATCGGTCCGTGGGGGAGCTCACCAGTGAGAAGAGTGGGCTCACCGGTCAGCGGGGTTGTCTCACCGGTCGGTGGAGTGGCGGCAGATGCCGGTTCACCAATCGATGGTATGGAAGCAGATACCGGGGCATGTGGTCCCCCACAGGCTCTGGTGATCAACAACACAAAGTGCGAGAGTGTGACGGTGATTGGAAGCCCTCGGTTGAGCACAGCGTGGCGTGGTTGCTCTAAATGTAGCTTGCAGCGATTTCGGACAAAAGTCGGCTGGCAGACCTCTGCTTCCGACCGCTGCGCTCTCCCACCACCAACCAGCTAATTCGGTTAAAGGACAACATCCGCTTTCTCCTAGCAGTCATATGCCACCCTGTCTATTTCCTGTATAGCGCGCCTCGATTTGTCGTGCGGTTGTAAGCTGAACTGCCTTCCATTTTGAGCTGGCATGCGTTATGATGCTGCTTTGACTTCTCACTCAAATATTTTACATATTTTCCGTTGAGCGGTTTACTTCTGAGCGTCAGACCTGGTAGCGGCTGGGGAAACGAGACCTGCGGTCGCCGCTGACCTGACGTGACACGATCTGACACCTTGTGCCCTGCAGTGGCGGTTGGGCCCAGACTTGGAGTCGCCTGACGGCCAGCGGCCGCTGTTGACCTGACTCCGTGTGCCCTGCAGTGCGCACAGGACAGACAACAGACCTGACCTGACTTGACCGTTGTGTCCTGCAGTGGCGCACAGGCCAGACACAGACCTGACCTGACCTGACCCCGTGTGCCCTGCGTGGCGGACGGGCCGGACACGGAGCCGCCGCGGCGCAGCTCCCTCACCAGCTCATTCCGGGCTGGGCTCAGCTCTCTGCGTTCATCGCTGCGCCGTCGTCTGGCCGGCTCGCCGCCTCTGGAGGCAGCCGCCGCCATCTGCGAGGACGGTGAGCCGACGGCGACTGAGGCGCCGCCTGACGGCCGCGCCGCCAACCAGCCGCCGGCCAAGCCGGCGGCGCGGGGACGAGGCGGCCGACGACGGTGGCCGGCGAGCCTTCACCGCAGTCAGCATCGACCAGCCGGGCGACGACGACAAGCAGCGCACGCGGCTGTGAGCGCTGCCGAGTGGCCGGTGGTGCCCGCGGTCATGTAGTGCCCCCTCCCTCCCCCTCCACCGGGAGTGACGCAAGATCTACGGACTTGGCTGGTCGGAGGTTGGCGGGCATGGGGCCTCAGCTAGATTTGCGGGGCCAGCGACACCATTTTTCTGACGTAGGGAGCGCTCTGCTCTGTAAGCCCGTCCATTTTGGTGTTCTGTGCCTCTGGTAACCACGCGCAGCCAATGACAGCGGGGTTTATATTTCTGGCGTGCCTGGAGCACTTGCTGCCACCGTTGACGTGCACCACGCCGCCTGTCCTGGGCCATGCTTCGCGTCTTGCAGTGACGGAAGCTGCGGCTATCAGGGGCTGAGGCGGTGCCTGACGCACGTCCATGTGCCGAGACGAGTGGCGGCTACCTTTGAGATTTGCAGGGCACGATGCGAGTACCGATCGTGTCATCCGGCGTGTGTGTTGAACTTCTGTGGGCTGGGCGGGTTGGAATTGTTTCCATGGCAATAGAGCCGATGATGCCGCCCGCCCCGTCACATTTCCACGACATACGCCATGAACGGGACCATCCTTTGTGACCTCTGTGACCTAGTGGTTATCACGAATGGACATCTTTACTTGTTTGTTGACGGTAGTGCATGGAATCTCTACACTTAGCTGTGCCCCTTTAGCACTGGTTCGGGATCGTTTAGCGTTTTTATACTATTTGTCATCAGAATGATGGATGCTTTTAAACAACTGTCCTCGCTTTTTTCCGGGCAATCAGATAAACGGGCTTGCGAAGCTGAGCGCCTGTCAGTGCTGCCACTTAGGGAGTAAAAGGTGAACGACCAGTGCAGGGGCGCTCGCTAGTGCACGTGTGCAGTGTGCGGTGCGGCTTCGGACAGTCTCGCGCAGCCGGGGCAGTCCCATCCGTGTCTTTCAATCATGGTCGCCGGCGGGTGCCGGCATTGGCGTCCCAGTGACCCAGCTGGCTGCCCGCGCTCCGTCATATGTGCTAATATACTGTATTTTAAGTCCATCTTTGTCTCCGAGGATGCTACAAATCGCACAGGCGACTGAGGCTTAGCCGTGCGCAAACGAACACTTAGCATGTCCGTGTCCGGACACTTGACTGCTTTCTCGGGCGAACCACGGGTTTCAGCTCCACCAGCAGCGGCGGCGCTGGGGAGCTGCCCGCCATCCCGACGCACGTCAAGTGACATCACCAGCCTCTTTTTCAAAGTGTATTTTATGTTCCGCAAAGACAGAGCAAACTGTAATAAATCAACACACCACACGCAAGCGTCCACCCGCCTCGCATCACCATTCAGCGCCACCATACGGCAAGGAAAGCATGCTCAAAGACAACACAGGAAAACGCACAAACAACTACGGTCGGGGCCGCTACCATACAGTGCTGAACGGCGGGGGCGGGGGGCGGCTGTCCGCCGGCGGCGGCGGGGCGACGCCGACAGCCGTCCTGGCGGCGCCCCACCGGCCGCCACTCTTCCCCGGCGGAGCGGCGCCGCTCCAGCCGCCGCTCTTCCCGGGAGGCGTCCGCGAGATCTACGAGGGTTCGGACCGCGACCACACAGACGGTAAAGCTCAGTGTAATGCCATCGGCGCGCCCGGTTATGCAGTATTGCTGGCAGGACACGTGGGCGGCGGGCCGCGGCGCTCCCGCCGGCTCGCGACGCTGCGCCAGCCCGGCCGCGGCCGCCACGGCAAGAAACGGTGGCCTCCCCTGGCGCCGCCCGACGGCCGGGGAGCCGGGCGTCCCCGGTCAACACGTCACACGACGAGCGCGCGCTGGGCAACGAGCGCGCGCCGGGCCGCGCCATCAGCTGACGCAGACGGCAGCCGGCCAACGTACACCGATAATACGCGTAGCTCACTACTGTCCCAAAAATTTCCATCAACACAACATGTACGAACATCACACACTCGTCCACCCAGTCTGAAATCGCGTTTGTATATGTATATAAGTCAATGTCATATGCTTGACCGTTTACTGAAAAAGCTGTCACCGACAAATGACGTCGGAATTCTAGGCTGGTTTCACCAGCGTCCAATTTGTCGGAACGTCCAATAACCTTGGAGCCGGACATTCCGCGAACAAGCACGACGGCCCTAGCTGGAGCCTTAGGTGCCATTCCGCTTAGGGCAAAGAGCGAGGACGATCCAAGAGGTGCATGGCTAGACGAAAGCGTGTCCCCATCCAAACCTAGCAAACGTAACAAATACTGCGCCTACCGTGCTGAAAACAAGCGACGCTGTTCGAAGCGGCGCGCTCTGACCCCCCCCCCCCCCCCCCCCCCCTTTCCCCCCCCCCCACGTCATACCACCTCCGGCGGCCACCAGAGCCGGCCGCCTTCGGACGTCTGCTGAGGTCGAGGCCGCCAGTGAGGCGCGTCCCAGCCGGCGCGGCCGCCGGCCCGCCTCAGCCCGGCCGGCGTGTCTGCCCACGTCGGCCGGTACTGACCCAGCCGGACCAGCCCTTCGACGCCCCAGCGGCTGGCGCCGTCCGGGGACGACACGGGTCAGAAGGCGGCCGCCCAGGGTGCCGGGGCGGCCGCGCCCCACTGGCGCTACTGCCAGCATAGCGGAGACTAGAAATCTAATCAGCAGTGATATGGCAGGCCAATGCCTTACCAGCCTCAACGAGCAGAGCCCACCAATCGCGGCGCTCGGGCTGCTCGATGGGACATGGCCATTTGTAAACAGCACGCAACGCAACGTATCGCACTTCACGACGCGTAGTGCTCCGGGTAGGCGGCCACACACACACAAACGGGGAGATCCCAGGGGGTCAGCGCGGGCACGCGGGTGTCCCCCTCGCCCTCCCCTCATGTCGGCAGACGGTCCAGGACCCCGTCGACGGTCAGCGAGGCACCGCCCGGCCATGCTGGCACGCCGCAGTCCGGCGGTCTGCCGCACAAGAAGGCCTTCTAACGACGGGGCGGGGCGGGGCGCGGAGCTTGTACATATAAAGGAGGATACCAACAACAGGATCACGGACGCGCAGCACACCCTGTTCCGCCACGCACCGCGACCGCCAGCTTCCGTTGGCGGGGGTCGACTCCCGGCGCGCGCGTCCAGACGCAGGGCGCCCCCGCAGCCGCCGGCCAGCGGTCACCGCCGTTGCGGCCCAGCCCGCCCCGTTCGGCCACCCGGGCCGCTCCGAAACACCGCACGGCGTCGCGCCGCGCGGGAGCCGCCCGCCCCACCCGACTTCGCCTAGCGCGCGTCCACCTCAGAGCTCGGCGTTCACCGGCTCGCGGCGCCCGTGGTTCTTCACGTGCGCGTTGTAGTTGCTGCGGCTGGCGAAGGAGCGGTCGCAGACGGTGCACACGTGCGGCCGCTCGCCCGTATGGATGCGCACGTGCGCCATCAGGTAGGCCTTGCGCGCGAACCGCTTACCGCACACGCCGCACATGTGCTTCTTCTCGCCGTCGTGTTCGCGCAGGTGCACGTTCATCGAACTGACACGGCTGAACTCCCTGCCGCACACCTTACACGGGTAGCGCTTGCCCTCGTGCGTGGCCTTGTGCACGCGCAGGTCGCGGTCGGTGGTGTAGGCCTTCCGACACTGGTCGCACTTGAACGGCCGGTCGCGGTAGCTGAGGTGCGACAGCACGTGCGACTGCAGGTTACACTTGGCCGAGAACCGGCGACCGCAGCGCGCGCACTGGTACGGCTTGGCATCCTGGTGCATCATGCGCACGTGCGCGCGCAGCGAGGTGCGCATGTACACCTTGTTGCAGACGGGGCAGGGGCGTGACTCGCCGGAGTTGCGGCCCACGAAGCGCGGGTTGTGCTGCGACCGAATGTGACGCGTCAGCCACGACTGGTGCAGGAAGCGCAGGCCGCACGTGGAGCACGTGTGCGGCCGCTTGCCGTGAATCTCGGCGTGCCACTTGAGCTGCTTGTAGCTGTAGAAGATGCGGCCGCAGTGGTCGCAGCTGCAGATGCGGCGCACGGGTCGCCGCGGCTGCCGGTGCTGCTGCAGCGTGTGACGCTGCAGCGACAGCGGCTGCGCGAACGTGGCGCCGCACGTGGCGCACGACACGGGCTTGCGCTGCTCGACGTTCGGCGCCAGCGCCGCCGGCGGCAGCGGCAGCGGCGGCGGCGGCGGCGGCGCCAGCTCCGCGGCCACGGCAGTGGCGGCGACGGCCGGCGGCGCCAGCTCGCTGCCCACCTGGTCCCGGATCCTCGCCGGGATGTGCTGCAGGATGTGCTGACGGTGTAGGGCCGAGGTGCGGAACTCTCTGGCGCACACGCCGCACTTGTAGGGCCGCGGCGAGCTGTGCAGCGCCATGTGGTCGGCCAGGTGCCACGTGGAGGGGCACACCTCGTGGCACGCCTGGCACACGTGGCTGGCCTCGCTCACCGACGACAGGTGGACGTGGATATCCTCCGCCGTGCCGAACTCGCGCGAGCAGTGGATGCATTTGAAGCTGACGTAGTCCGGGTCGGCGCCGGCCGAGGCGGCGGCGGTGCCGGCCTCGGGCGGCAGCGTCAGGTGGATCCGGCGCGACGGCGACACCCCGCAGCCGGCCGCTTGGTACGTCGCCACCTCGCCGCTGTACACCTGCGCGCCGTCAGCCGAGGTCAGGTCAGGTCAGGGCACGGCAGGTCAGGTCTCGGCCGGCACCAGTGGTCTCGCACAGACGCATGGGACTCTGACAGGTCTGCTGGACACAGACCAGACCGGACCGGACAGTGGACTGCCAGTCGTGTCTGTCCCGTAGTCGATCACCGACGAGGTTCCATACAGTCATTGCTGAACAAGACGCGTCGCAAAGCAAGGAAATTGGAGTCAAGGCTACGTAACCAAGGTACACACGAATACAAAACTTGCTGGAACTAGTGGTATGGCAACATTTTGAGTGGGCGGGCTTCAAAAACCTAGACTGGCGTCAGCACAGGCCATTTGCAGCGCGATAATATCCTGACCTTACACCTCATTCCTGATGAAATCCTGTTTTCCCTACTTCTCCATTTTACCAAGGGTCCCCATTCCTCGTGAAGGCCGCGCGCTGGAGCGTCTGCCTGTCATCCATGCAGCGCTGCTCCGGGGCACCAGCCGGCCCCGGCGGTGGCCGCCGCGGCCCGCCACTCACGCTGAAGTCCTGTCCGTGGTACTCGGGCGCCGGCCGCAGCACGGCCGGCTCGCCGGGCGACGGGCAGCTGCTGTGCAGCGACTCCTCGGTGCAGAGCAGCTCGGCGGCCGGCAGCTCGTGCTCGGCCGGCGGCGGCTCCAGCGGCTGGCACGCGCCGGCGCTGCTCGGCCCGGCGTCCAGGTCCGTGTAGACGGCCGCCGAGCCGCCGGCGCCCACCACACTCCAGCCCTGCAGGCTGGCCACCGCACCGACACCGGTCAGAGAGGCACGACACCGACGGCGGGGGAGATGGCGGCGGGCGCCGGACCGACACCGGTCAGAAAGTCACAGCACCGACGGCGGGGGAGATGGCGGCGAGCGCCGGACAACAGCCCGCTGGCCGCCACACCGACGCCGGTCAGAGCGGCACAGCACCGACAGCGGCGGGCGCCCGACAACAGCTCACTGCTGCCCCACAGCTGATCCGTCACCGTACTTATGCAATCCTGAAATGTGACTCAACCTGCACTGTTCGCTTACTTAGGCCGCGTCCACCATCGATTGTCTGAACGCAGCCCAATAAAATTGCTTTGCCGCGTCAGGTAACATTTCCGGACAATTGGCATCATTAGAATAGCCATTCAGGCAGGCGATAGGAGAAATGAAAGTTTTTAAATATAAAACTGATTGCACATCCGCCATGAACATCCCATAATGTATATCAGAATGCGACATCTGACAGCCCTCGCATGTTGCCAATTTTCTTTTGGACACAGCAGTTTTCCACTGCAACTCCGGTTTGGTACATCGTCGGCGATGGCGCGCCACGGGCCGCGACTCACCCATGCATGTCAGATATGAGCACCGGCGCGCTGGTCGGCGGCGGCGGCGGTGGCGGCGGCGGCGGTGGCGGAGGAGGTGGTGGCGGCGGCGGCGGCAAAGCCGGCTGCGACAGCGCCAGGTGCCGGTCGGGCAGGGTCGGCAGCTGCAGCCAGGCCTGGTGCGGGGCAGCCAGCTCGTGCGCCGCCGCCGTCTCCAGCTTGTAGCCGGCCACCGGGTCGGCGGGCGGCCGCAGGCAGCTGCCCGACGGCCGGTGGTGCCGCTCGCCCCTGTCGGCGGCGGTCCGTCAGCGCACGGCCGTCACTACGCCCACCGCGGGCGGACCGACACACAGACGCTCACCGCATGTGCCACGGGACGGGGACAGCTGAGGCTCCAACCCACCACCTGCGGGACTCATAAGAATGCTCTGGACCAGACCCATAGTCCGGGACCCAGCCTGCCGACCAACAGCGCTGCAGCTGCCGCCAGCCAGCCGGCTGGAAAAGTGCGCAGCACAAGGTAAGGCAGGGACTGATCAAGACCCACGATCAAGCGGGACGATCCGGTGTTTACAGGATGACACCCATCCAAGAAGCACAGAATAGGCGTCCTGCTGGGGACGCTCTTCTGGCATACGAATCCCGGCCCTCTCCAATGCGTCGGTGTAAAGCGCCACCCCGCGGCGGCTGACACAGTACGAAACGTCACGTAGTCACAACAGTGATTCAGTAGGCAAAAGGTCTTGCAAAGTGCATACTTTCCTTTTCTCCATTTTTCAAACGAAGTACGTCTGACTGGAAAAGCTAGCGCACATAACACGCTAACAATCTAAAGAGCGACGAGGGCTAGAAGCATCTCCGTAGTTTGTTCACAGCCGTCTTTTGTTGACCGCACTGTGACCTACTGATGGCTCGTGCCACTGAATACCGCGTAACCTCTACCGTCGTTGCGATCTTGCTGATCCTTCGCTCTCACGCAGACTTCTGATAACAGCGATTGGCTTGTGTACTCATGAATCACCCATGGTCGCGTTCACCAAAGCAGCTACGCGGGGCGGGGGAGAGCTGGCGACGACGCTGACACCGACGCTGTCCTGGGTACTCACGTGTCAGGCACAGGCTCCCATGTACCCCTGCCTACGGAGCACCCCTGTCCACACACAGGGTCGCCCTCACAACCAACACCACATACGAATGAAAAATGACGTTATTCCCGGGTATTACAGGATGACACCTATCCAGGAAGCACAAGGTAGACGGCCTGTTCGGCGCGCCTACCGCTATGTGATGCTTGCATCTCTCACTGGACCTGAATTTTTTTATTTGTCAGCTTTCGAAACCGAGCGATAGATTGAGAATGCACCTTGCGCAAGTCGTAACACCCCAACGCTTGCATCCCGTGTAGGCATCCGTGCCATCCGAGAATAGCTTCGAGTAGTTTCGCGCTTCATAAGTAACGTATTTCGAGTTTAGCGTGCAGTGTGACGGCGGCGTGGCCGCTGATTGTTAAGCGTGAGGTGTGACGGCGGTGAGACCGTCGATTGTTTAGCGTGAAGTGTGACGGCGGTGTGACCGTCGATTGTTTAGCGTGAGGTGCGACGGTGGTGTGACCGTCGATTGTTTAGCGTGGGGTGCGACGGCGGTGTGACCGTCAATTTTTTAGCGTGAGGTGTGACCGTTGATTGTTTAGCGTGAGGTGTGACGGCGGTGTCACCGTCGATTGCTCAGCGTGCGGTGTGACGGCGGCGTACCCATCGATCGTTTAGCGTGCAGTGTGACGGCGGTGTGACCATCGATCGTCTAGCACAGCCAACGTCCTTCACTTTGCGGTGTTCTGACACAGGGCTGTGTGGGGCCAGCGTGACCGGTCGGTCCAAACTGCGCACCAATGCTGCGAATCCGGCGGCCGCCGGTATGGCGCTGCCGGTGGGCCCGGGGCGGAGGGGGGGAGGGATCAGCACGGCCAGGGGTTCGCCGTGTCCAGCCGGCCCAGACTGACGCCAGACGACTGACAGCCTCCAACAATGCGGTAAATGTTTGGGCAATCTTAAGGCAGTCGCATCACCAAAAATTGTGACAATCTCTCAAAATGAGGCAATGGTGACAGGTCCGCACGCATATCAGTCAGTAGCATTTAGATCGGTGGTCACTCATCAGTACCTAACTATCTTCTAGTCAAATATCCCACGTATATAAAGAATAAAACATCGCTTGGGCCTCCAACAAAACCAGTTGCAGCATTCCAATACAAAGCAGTGGAAACACCAGGCATAGCCCACTAATGGTGTCTTCCACGTGAACGCAAACCGGAGACTTGTGCCCCAAATCTTCAGGTAATTGAGATACCGGGACTGCGGCGGCCTGCGGCACAGGCTTTTGGCTTTTGTTTGGAACAGATTACAACATGTGGAAAACGTGTGTGAAACAGGCTGTAACGATGCAAAAAAAAACGACAACAGCATCACCCAAACAAAAGCTGCACTCAATGCTGGCAGCCTACCGCACCTCCATCTTGCGGAGTCATAGGCACACCACTGAAGGAGGGGCGAAGTCCTTTCCAGTGACAACTAACGAGCCAATACCAGCAGACCTTCCAAGACGCCAGCACCTCAGAACCTCACCACAGCAGTGTTATGGTACGTGGCACGTGCCAGTGAAGGGACGCCTTTCGCAGCGAAGCGCGAGCGAACATAACAGACGCAGCACAGACCGCATCGAAACAGATGATACTGATGATGACGTCAAAACGCAAGCAAACGGAATCAGCTACTGTTCGGAAACTGATACTAATAGGTGTTTTAAAGTGCTTGCATTAGCAAATTTTCACTTTTCGCCCAACATACATGCTTAATATGTGGTCTTGCAGACTTCCTCAGATCAAAAGCTTTCGAGGCTAACTGAGGTTTTGTGAGGCATAACTGTTGCTTATACAGGTAAACCACCATGTTGGACCATCTGTGCCAAAATATTTGCTGTTTGTGTTGTGAGAATATCAAGCGGGTTGACTATACAAGCAGCCGATGGCAGTGCCACACCTCATGTAAGCTCACCTGTGCTCGATGACGGCCCGCACAATGTCTGTCTTCCTGTGAAGCTTGACATGCTTCTCCAGCTCCTCCTGGGTGTAGAACATTGCCGTGCAGACGAAACACTGCACCAGGTTCACGCCGGCTGGCAGGGTCACGCGTTCTGGTGGTGGCACCAGCTCCATCTGTCGGCCACCAACATTAGAAATGCAGCAATATTCGGAGTGCCATCACACATGCATTTTTTTTATCAGATTAAGGATGCTATATTACAACTGAGAGTACTGAAGGTACTTTACTGATGCAATAGCAAGTACTTTGTCTTGCAAAAGCATAACTGTATCATGTGAAGTGTACCTGAAATGTCCTACTTATTCATACCATGTAACAACATTAGATCCTTCAGAGTCAATGCAACATTCGAGACAATGGGAATCTATGAAAATAACACAATATGAAGTAAAAGCATATGACTAGATGGCACCTAGTGACATTTCTGTCATGAGAGTCAAAATTTTGGGATACAAGGATGTGTATCACATAAGGTGTCAAACAATCCTGGCTTCAACAATCACAGAGGCTCACTGGCATCAAAGCATGCATCACTCTCACAAACCATGGATCTAGGAAGACTCTGTTTGGGTGTGAATGGTATGGCCAGCCCACATGTTTAGCCTCTCCCCAGCTGAAGAACAGAGTATAATGACTCCTTACCAGCAATGGTATATCAATTCATCTGTTACATCTGAAATACTCTAAAATCACTCATTTCAACTGGCTGTCCAAGAACCCTTCTCTGAACCTAGACCAAGGTACCCAGCCTTACTCTATTTTGCAATGACTTGCCAGCCTTAAACATAACATGCAACTGACCCAGGTAGTTTTTGACACCCTACCCTGCCATTCCTCAAGCATGCCTAGATGTTTGAAAGTAAAAAAATAGCTTAATATATCCTGTGCTCTTTTCTGTACTCTGTTCTGATCATAACCTCCCACACACAATAATGATTATAATAGTAAGTGAAATACTGGGTGGTGTTATATTTACTGTATAGTCCCTTGACTAGTGAAATCATGATAAATCTAAGACATCCACCCTAGGTTTTTTAGAGCAACTTTCTTACAATCTTGGAGCCTTGAAAAGTATGTTAAACTTTTGACTGTTGCAAGCAGCCAGCCTTGGGTATAATTTCTGGACCAGGAATATAAATTTATGTCAGCATTATGTGTTTACCAATGTCTGTATTGACTGCAATCATCCCTTACAGATTGTGCTTTCATATTTGCTTATTTGTGTTTGGAGATAGACAGGTTCTGAACAAACAGGCCATTTCCTCACTGAAGGACAGGATAGCCTGGTCCATGGCAGGCAATACATTTGTGACATTCAACAAATTGTTGCCACAAATGCTAGATGCAGCCATCAAAGAATTATCAAGCTTGGTCACCTGACTTCAATGCCGCTCATAACAACTAAAATATCATATTAGCCATTTGGCAGTCCCACAAAACACATAATAGGTGAGCATGACACACAGCAAATGTACTTTGGGTAGCTATCTAAGGTGAGTGAAAAATTCATAGCCCAAGCATTGCAAATACAAGGCTAGAGGAGCAAAATTTGCACCAACCAGATGATATCAAACAAAAATTGAGCAAGACACAAGCATTAACAGGTGAAAGTAAAGTGGCCAAAGCTCATTCCCACACAGCCAAGGTCATCGACACCACGATCGACGTAAAGGTGCGCCAGTTTGACATCAGGATCATTGACCACACACGCATTCCACGGTTGTGGTCATACCATCTGACCAAGCAAATAACTGGGAGCAATGCTACAAGCTCACCGTTGAAACCTCTAGGAGCTAGGAGCCTGTTTTCATAACAAAGGGCACAGGCGCACGGACCATCCACCCCACAATCCCCACAGCCGCAGGCGAATTTTTCCGTCGGATGTTTTCCTGCACTATCAGCTGACTGCGGGGTTTGGCGAAGCAATTCTACAGCATAGATGTCTTACACACCTATTGAAAACAATTCCAGTGCAAATTATTTATAGAATAATGCTCATTTTATGATCAATAAAAAAGCTTTGTGGTACAAGCTCGTATTTTGAGTGAATAACTGCAGAATCAGTTCACAAATTTGCACAATAAAATATACCCACTTATCTACGTTCACATGTACATCAAGAGCAAAGCATGTCGAGGATGTCTGATCTATGGACGCATTATTCCTCTTTCGGTACATACTTGGGTCCATAGAAGGAGAACAATTACGAAGCTGAGGAAAAAATGATCAAGAGCTAAGAAACATGCCACCCGCATGAACAGCTGCGTCCTGGCCACATGAAAATGAAAACAAAATGCATGAGCTAATTTATCACTTCGTGGCTTGTATGCTCAGGCACAGATAGGCAGGACGTCGTAAGGGGATGGAGCCGAAAGCTTGCAAGAGCGTTCCATAATGTTTGTGCCCAGAAAATCCTCAGATTGTGCCCTAATCCAATGGCGCAGCCAACGGGGCTCATATGTGGCTTTAGCCCCCAGCCGCCCCAGGTTTGAGCGCAGATTTCACCATGACATAACACACAGTGCTCAGGAGACTGTTCTGCTTTCTTAGATCTCATAAACACGATCATGGACAGCGACAAGTACGGTCCAACAGTTGTAACTTAGTAACAAGACCAGCGGATAGTCAAGTGAACATGCTTTTAGTCTATTCACAGTGTGTAAGTGTTGTCAATGGGGCTGGAAATCGCTAGTTAAAAAATTTGCCCCCGTCACAAGTTCTGGCTGCGCCTTTGATTGTACCCAACTCAGGTTTTAGTGCGCCTCATACCGCGAATGTCGTTGCAGAATGCGAGTAAGATCTGGCTGGGCTCGAGATGGTTGCTCAGTCGCATTCAATTTCTGCGCAGCAGTTGCCAGCGGCCGCCCCACTTTGTGCGATTGATGGTGTGGATCGTGAGGATGTCGTCGTGCAAGGCCATTTTGTTGTGTGAACTGTGAAGCCAAGGTCAGTGGATCTTGAGGGTGTCGTCGTGCAAGGCCTTTTTGTTGTGTGAACTGTGAAGCCAAGGTCAGTGGATCTTGAGGGTGCCGTCGCGCAAGGCCATTTTGTTGTGTGAACTGTGAAGCCAACGTCAGTGGATCGTGAGGGTGTCGTCGTGCAAGGCCATTTTGTTGTGTGAACTGTGAAGCCAAGGTCACATGGGATCAGTTGTACCAACATCCAGATAGGCTGACTATGTATGTTACGATTGCATCCGGTCAATAACCGAAACCCATTTAGCCAAATGGCTTTTTGTCGAATCCATTTGACCGAATGCTATTTTGTAGACGTGACTTTTTGTCGACGTCTTAAGAAAGCAAAATCCTAAAAGCTGGTTAAAAATTAATTGACAATTTTTGTTTTCACGACGCCTCAAACCGACGAAATGCTGTTGAAGGAAATGTTTCACATCTCAAGGTGACGCACACAAATGAGAAAAAAATGAAAGTAGTCATTGTCAAGTATGCCGACTGACAAGCTTCTATCATCGAAAATCACATAACTGTGGCTTGTAGTACTGAAAAACTACCTCTGGCTAATGCGCAATACAGGTTTGGACCAATCCGGGCCCCGGTGTGCTCAAATGCATGCCGACATTCCCGGCAACGGAAGGCTAAGGAAGCTTGTTGTCCATCGGGTGACAGGGGTGCCGACATACTTAGTTAGGGTGAAGTCATAATCAAGCCGGGCATAATGCTTCAAATTGATACACATAGCTGCACGCACGCACCCTCACACGCACCCACGCACCCACCCACCCACTCACCCAACTGCAGGGAAGGAGCGTAGTGCTGTTACAAAGCGTTGGGAGCGTTATTTGGGCTCTAAAATAGTTGAAATTAATATTGTTTTATGTCTTGACGGTACTGCAGTGGCACTACCCAGTGCTAATATTACACGTAACTGATCCTGACGTTTCGCAAGGGTAGTCGCGCAGCCAGAGCCTTGGTATGGAGGGGCACACAGGGTTGATAAATGGGCTCCTGGCAGTGATAGGGATCCATCAAAATTGCCAGATATAGCCCATTTGTTAATGAGGGCGTATTTTTATTGACATTATTGCATTTCTTTCCTTGTATGACTGGAATAGAATTCAGAAGCTACCGCGAGATAGATTCCGACGGAATTTTTGTCAAAATGAATAAACCATGCGTTACACGACTAAATGAAACAAATCGCCGATGCTCTGCACTTTACAATGGACCAGAGGGCTCTTTCTAAACCGATAGAGCTTAATAGCTTCGTCATAATTTGATCTGGGCTCTAAAGGCACATTCGGGCGCCGCGAATGTAGACGGTAGACAAAAGTGGATCAAAAATTTGTTTTACCTTTGCCAAGCCACGTCAGTCTGGAAGTGTTGAATGTTCAGTCAGAATCGATTAGTGATCAAAATTATGTACGTAGTGTTGAGCATGCGCGCTCGCAAATCTTGCCAACAAAAACCTCGACCCCAGGGGTGGCAGTCTTCATAGGCCGCGCAGCGCCGGCGCTGTGGCTTATGCTAAGCCGTGGTCAACAGGTGGACGAAAATGATGATGCATTTGAAAGAGGTACCTTTCTACGCTTTAGGACATCAAATCGTACATCTAGAAGGTAGTCTGGGCGTATATTTGACCGGTGCGATTTTAAGCTCTATGCTAAGGACGGATCGCCATTTTGGTAGCGATAAAACTGGAAGGGTAAAGGTAGAATCTTCATTGTTCGTATTGCTCAAATTGTTCGTATGTCCAAAGGTAACCCCAAAAATGTAAAAAAAGATAGGCCCGGCCTTATCTATGAGTGGTGCGAATTAATTGTGGCGGGCGTTCCAAAGCATTATTTTACATTCTCGCGCGGTGCTCGTGGTGTTATTTGCGCGGTGCTCGTGGTGGTCATTCTCGCGCGGTGCTCGTGGTGTTACTTGCACTGGCAATGAATGCCCTTCGAGTTACGGAAACTGCAACCCAGGCTATCACTGTCCTTGTTTCCGAAATTTCGGCAGCACAGCCTCAAACCTTTCGATGTTATTTTTTTCGCTAACTGATTCTGCAAAAGCATGAACACTCTCAGGCAAACACAGGGCTGCTTTGTTGGCTTTTAAACTCACTTCGACCTACTATTTTAAGTACTTATGTGACCCCTTGTTTCTTTCCGGGCAAGTTTGTCTCTTGAGTAGAACACTACGAGTCGCATCATTGTTTAAACACCTTTCACGCGGGGCGTGCGGCGCTCGCGTGCCGTTCCGCGGTCGACGTGATGCGGGCTTTTGGAGCGGAAGTCGGGCACCGTCTTTGTGTGTGGCGCGGGCCTGGGCTGTAGGCGGCGCCGAGGCTCAGCTGGTTCGGAGAACTCTCGTTAGATGGCAGGCGGCGGCCGCGCAGACCCGAGAAGCCGAGGCCGGCCGTCGAGCGATGAAAAACTTTGAATCAGGCGTTGCAGGTGCTATAACTGGATGGTGCGCATGCGCAGCGGAAAGGCTTGCATCTGTCCGGCGCACACCTTATGAAAGCCGTGGATCTCGGCCACTCGAGGTACTCCACACTGTGGCCACTGGGGTCTGTTCCCGGGGACGGGCCAAGAGGGCGGGTCTCTGCGGCGTTTACCGGGGGGGGGGGGGGGGGGGGATCCTTCCTGTGCTGTAAATGTTTGCACACTGAAATTTGACTTCAGTTAAGTGTGTATGTTTTGATATCGTTTATTGACCTGGTGAGTTTTTTTGTGAGTGTTGCTGTTTGACATCAGAAGGTCCAGTGTTGAGTTTGAAAATAGTCGGAATATGAATGTGGTAATTAATACGACACACATGCGCAGTGAGCATATTTGCCCCTTCCTGGTGCGCTGTGCCGGGGTGAACTTGCTCTGCGGTAAACGCTAAACAAACGCTTCCGAGCCCGCACATCCATACCGTGTGGCAGGCGGAACAAGTGTCAATTACACCGAACTGCGCTGCACTACCTGAACCCGTTGGTGTATTTTGCTGCCTCGCGGTGATGGCTGGCGCGAAACGCTGGCTGACGACGCGAGATCTCACAATTGTCCCCGGTCAGGAGCTGAACGGTCATTCCGCTCCAACGCGAAGTGTTCTACGGCTGTCATTCTGGCGACACGGGGCGAGATCCCCTGCTCGATCCGGAGGCCCTTAGAAAGATACATCATATCACATAGACGTGGAAGGCCTTCATGTCGTGACGTAACTTCATGACGTGGAAGGCCTTCTGGCCCGCACAGTTGGCCCCGGCTAGACGAAGGAACTCTCACTGGCGCAGCAGCATCCCTGATCGCCGCAGGTGGTCACATAATTGGCAGATAGTCCATGCTGAAATTGGGTTGAAGCACCCACTGTTCAGCACTAGGGGCACTGACTGGCCCAGAATCCTTCCAATGTCTCAATGTGAACATTATCACAAGTTATGATGTTTCCTTTCATTGACAGTGGGTCTCACCAACGCAAGAGATCCTCTGTCATTCGTGATCCCGTCCCCGTCCCTGTTGAGCAGATACTCTCCTGACCGACTCGACGTCCCTTGTTGATACAGGACGCCCTGTTAGGCATTGTCTGCTCCTGACCGTTACAGGGGCAGTGCATTTTCGTGGGCCCGGCCTTGTCCTTGCTTGGAAATGGGCCCCCAGAGCTCAGACTGACACGGCATCCGTCCGTCTCATCCTTTATCTTGCTTCATCCTGCATACTCGCGACACCTCGCTTGTCCGAGGCAGGCTGCATGCGTCAGCCATGAGTGGGCCGAGAGCCCAGTGGGAAGGGGGACCCCGACCGGGTACCCAGCGCGCACACGCGGCTGGGCTCGGCGGCTTGTCCCCCAGGTGCATGCAAGTCTGTCCTACTGTTGACAATTTTCCCTCATTCCATAGCCCTGAAATGATCATCTCTGGTCGAAAGGGCTCTTATT